TAACGATCAGCTGCTACAAGGACCTGACCTCACAAACTCCCTTGTTGGTGTCCTTTTGAGGTTCAGAGAAGAGCCTATTGCTTTGATGGCCGACATTGAGGCGATGTTCTACCAGGTCAAAGTTCCTGACCAAGATGCTGATCTTCTGCGTTTCCTATGGTGGCAGGATGGTGATCTGAACAAACCGATGGAAGACTACCGAATGACAGTGCATCTGTTCGGCGCTACCTCGTCTCCCAGCTGTGCATCATATGCACTAAGAAGAACAGCACAGGATGGAGGAAGCAAAACAACACCCGAGGTGGTGGAAACGGTTCTCAGAAACTTTTATGTGGATGACTGTTTAAAGTCTGTGGATTCAGAAGATCATGCTGTTGCTTTGGCCAGGGACCTCAGACATCTGTGCGCCAGTGGAGGTTTCAGGCTTACAAAGTGGGTCAGCAACAGTAGGGCCGTCTTGTCGTCCATCCCTAAAGAAGACAGAACAACGGAAGTCAAAGATCTTGACCTGAACCATAAGCAGCTTCCTATGGAAAGAGCCCTTGGTACTAAGTGGTGCACTGAATCAGACACCTTCAGGTTCAAAGTGCAACCACAGGACAAACCAGCTACAAGACGAGGAATCCTGTCCATCGTTAGCTCCATCTACGACCCCCTCGGGTTCCTGGCCCCAATGGTACTGCCAGTGAAGCTCCTTCTGAGAGACCTTTGCAGGGAACAGAGAGGTTGGGATGAGAAGATAGACAGTGGGCAGGCCCAGAAATGGATGAAGTGGTTGGCCGACCTTGAGCAGCTGTCAAAGTTTTATGTGCAGAGATGCGTCAAACCGGCAGAGGTTGAACCCATGAAGATGGCACAGCTCCACCACTTTTCCGATGCCAGCATGGATGCATATGGAACAGCTACCTACATCGTGCAGACAAACAACCAAGGCAAAATAAAGGTTTCCTTGCTGATCGGAAAGTCCAGAGTCGCTCCACTGAAACACATCACCATTCCGAGAATGGAGTTGACAGCAGCAGTCGTCGCCGTCAAGGTCGACAAGATGCTAAGAAGAGAGCTTCAGGTTCAAGCTGGAGCAATCTATCTTCTGGACAGACAGTACTACGGTACTGAAATATATTGAGAACGAAACATCTCGCTTCAAAACTTTTGTCGCAAACAGGATCTCAATCATTCGTGAGGCTACTACACCAAGCCAATGGAGATATGTGAACACCTCTGTGAACCCTGCGGATCAAGCTTCAAGAGGTCTGAAAGTTGAGAGTTTTATCCAAAGTGAGAACTGGATACAAGGCCCACGTTTCCTGTGGAGAAATGAAAGTGAGTGGCCAGAAAGACCAGATCTGTCAAGCAATGTACTGGAAGATGACGATGAGGTAAAGAAGGCACCTGCAGTCTGTCTTACAATAATAGACGAAGGAGTAGCCACAGTGAACAAGCTCATTGATCATTATTTAAAATGGTGTAAGCTGAAGAGAGCAGTGGGATGGTTTCTCCGGATTAAAGATCTGCTGCTGCAACTCAGTGGAAAAAGGAAAGAGTTCCAAGCTGCCTGTATTAAGTCGGAAGACAACCCTGCAAATCAAGAAACCTTTCTTAAGCAGCAGATGAAGACATACAGAGCCACACTAAACAAGAATCTGCTCACCGTGGAACATTTGGAGTTAGCTGAAAAAGCGCTTGTTCGCTTCAGCCAAAGGCAGGCATATCTGGAGGAGATCAAAGCTTTGGAGAAAGGACAGACACATGTCAAGATGAGTAGTCCACTCAGCAGATTGGATCCTGTTCTGGAAGACGGCGTACTTAGAGTAGGTGGACGGCTAAACAACTCTGCTATGCCAGAGGAGGCTAAGCGCCCCCTCATCCTCTCTAAGAACCAACGTGTCGCTACTCTCCTTTTGCAACACATCCACAGAGAAGTTGGACATGGAGGCAGGAATCATACACTCTCAAAGTTAAGGCAGAAGTACTGGATTCCAAAGGCTAACGCAGCAGTAAGAAGGATCATAACTGATTGTACAGTGTGCAGGAGACTACATGCCAAGGCTGGACAGCAGAAAATGGCCGACCTGCCCAAAGATCGTGTAGTGCCAGATGAACCCCCCTTTACCAACGTCGGAGTAGACTACTTCGGACCCTTTGAAATTAAGCGGGGACGCAGCCTGGTGAAACGGTATGGCGTGATCTTCACTTGTCTGGCAATCAGAGCAGTGCATATCGAGGTGGCTTACTCCCTTGATACCGATTCTTGCATCAATGCTTTGCGCTGCTTTATCAGCAGAAGAGGACAGGTGGCGATGATACGATCTGATAACGGCACCAACTTTGTTGGAGCAGAAAGAGAGCTACGTGAAGCCATTGAAGAGCTGAATCGGTCCAAAATACACAATGCAATGTTACAAAAAGGAGTCAAGTGGATCTTCAATCCCCCAGGTGCTTCCCACCACGGAGGAGTGTGGGAAAGACAAATACGCACTGTTAGGAAAATTCTCAATTCAGTGCTCAAACAGCAAGCAATGGATGATGAGGGCCTTCAGACCGTGCTATGTGAGGTGGAGTCCATTATCAATGATCGCCCCATCACAAAGATTTCAGATGACCCCAATGACCTTGAGGCACTCACACCAAACCACTTGTTGTTACTCAAGTCTAAATCAAGCGTGCCCCCAGGCAGGGCCGGCCCTGACCAATTTGCCGCCCTAGGCAAGATTTTAGCTGGCGCCCCCCCCCCCCAAAATGCAGACACTTACTATGACTCGTGCGTGCACGGTTGTGGCATGACCACCAAAACAGAAAGATATGGACACAAGATGTGTGCAACTGTATTTAGTTTCCTATCCATTTGAACATGATTTAAGTGGGGGGGGGACCTCACCTCCTCTAGGGGGGTCCGGGGGGCATGCTCCCCCGGGAAGACTTTTTTTTTTAATATTGAAGTTAAAAGCATCAATCTGGTGCACTTTGAGAGCAACATTAGGAGCTCTATGGATACATCTCTCAACACCCATATGAAACAGAACTGTAAGCAGATTTTCTTTTTCTTTATGGATATTTTACAAATCACTCCCCTTTCAAACTGTATTCTTGTTTATTAATAACAACTTTTTTGTACTGTCAGTATTTTATACCTGTTTTTCACCTATTATCTTATTTTTTTATAACTATAATGATCATATAAAGGTGTGCCTTTACCTCACTGAGCTGAGGTTATCAGAGCCTCTCAGTCTTTCAGGAGAGAGCTCTCTAAAGCTCTCACCCCCGCGGCCGCTTACAATGTAAATTCCAATGTTAATAAAAGCACACAGAAGCTGTGTACGTTTTTTGGGAGTTTGATTTATTTTAAATTAACACAAATACAAAATTAAAACCCATAATTGCAAACTAAAACCATTATTTCGAAAAAATAACAATTTCACATAAACCCCTGGTTTTTACTGGGGCTGGGGCAGTTCAACTTGATTTTTGGGGGGGGGTGTGTGCCATAGTTTATCGGCGCTGTACGCAATATAGGCGTATTTCTGTTAGTATAAGATAATAAGATGCACTTTGTTGATCCAAAATCGGGAAATTGTGTTGTTATGAAAAAAAAATGTTTTCTTCAGTTTTCGGCGCCCCCTATGGGTTGATGCGCCCTTAGCATTCGCCTATACTGCATATGCCGAGGGCCGGCCCTGCCCCCAGGGGTGTTCAGGAAGGAGGATGTGTATTCACGACGCAGATGGAAACAATCACAATATCTGGCTGACCTGTTCTGGTCAAGATGGACACGGGAATACCTACCTCTCCTACAAGAGCGCCAGAAGTGGACCACACCAAGGAGAAACTTCCAGCCAGGAGACATCATCTTAATTGTGGATGACTCAGCCCCTCGTAATTCGTGGGTGATGGGAAGAGTCCTTAAGACTATGTCAGACGCCAAAGGCGCTGTACGCAGCGTCAGCGTGAAGACCAAGACCAGTGTCTTAGTGAGACCGATCACAAAGCTCTGTCTGTTTCTCGAAGCAGTGTGATGGCCCCCCCCCAAGGAAACAAAAACGGACCTCCAGTAAAAAAAAAAGGGAATATAAGTTCGTAAAGTTGCTTGATTATGTTTAGATGATATGGTCCTATTTAAGTTTAATTGTAGTAATTGGTATGCTCCCCGCCTAGCCAATTAGGGGCCGGAAATGTAGGAGCCATATGTTAAAATGTATAGTCTGATATTTTTGAATATTATTATCCTTTGTTGTTAGTGCTATTATATCATTTATTGGAACCAGCCGCGTGAATCTCGTGATTACGAGACGTTATAGCCGACGGCAGCTGCTGGTGATTGGTGTGTGAGAAGGAGAAAGAAGCACCGAGCAACATAGTTTTTTGACCTGAGAGAATATGTGTTTGTATTTGATACCTTTTTGTGTAAGTAAAAAACAAACTATCCTGAGACGTATTTTGTCCGAGTCAAGCTTATTTGCTATCTGTGAACCGAATTTTGGATTACTGGAACTACAGTAGTAGTAGTAGTAGTAGTAGTAGTAATAGCAGTAGTAGTAGTAGTAGTAATAGCAGTAGTAGTAGTAGTAGTAATAGCAGTAGTAGTCGTAGTAGCAGTAGTAGTAGTAGTAGTAATAGCAGTAGTAATAGCAGTAGTAGTAGTAGTAGTAGTAATAGCAGTAGTAGTAATAGTAGTAGTAGTAGTAGTAATAGCAGTAGTAGTAGTAGTAGTCGTAGTAGCAGTAGTAGTAGTAGTAATAGCAGTAGTAGTAGTCGTAGTAGCAGTAGTAGTAGTAGTAGTAGTAATAGCAGTAGTAGTAGTAATAGCAGTAGTAGTAGTAGTAGTAGTAGTAGTAGTAGTAGCAGTAGTAGTAATAGCAGTAGTAATAGCAGTAGTAATAGCAGTAGTAGTAGTAGTAGTAGTAGTAGTAGTAGTATTAGTAGCAGTAGTAGTAATAGCAGTAGTAATAGCAGTAGTAGTAGTAATAGCAGTAGTAGTAATAGCAGTAGTAGTAGCAGAAGTATTATAATCTCAGTTCTGACCTGCTGTCGTTGTACAGAGCCTCCTTCTCTCCCTGCAGACGCTGAAAACTACAAGAGAGAAGCACACGTTATAATCCAGCAGTGTTTTATTCATTATCTTATCTGTTCCGTCTGGAATTCAATCAGATAAACATCTGCTTTAAGTTAATTTCATCCAGTCTGACTTTTACAACGCTTCTATAATTTGACTTGAAAGCCACGAGAGGAGATAAGTGGTAGATAAACATCTCATTTAATTATAATTCAAAACACTCTGCTGTGAATTCAACCTTTTCTGACGTTACAGGAAGAAAAATAAGTATGTATTTACAGTTTCGATGACGAGCAGATGTGATTATCAGTCAAACTTTAAAAAGGTCTCTCACCTCTCCTGCTTCTTCTTTAACTTGTCAGTCAGCTGGAGAAGAGACAGGCAGGACGTTAAAAACATTGTGATAAACTTCTGATATTCACTCGTTGAGTTGTAATCAGTCTCCAATTAGCCAGGAGTCAAACCAGTAGCTCAATTAAGTTAATCAATCGATCAATGAAGGCGTCATGCTGCCTGATAATTTACCTTTGTTATCTCTTCCTGCAGTTTGGTGATTTCTGCCTGTTTGGACGCCTGAAGGCAGACAGGAGGAAATGTGTTAGTACAGTTTCAGAGTCAAGAGAACAACAGAGAAACGGTTTTTGTTTACACATATAAACAAGCATTTAAATCTACACTACAAAACACACACAGGCCTTTCTCTCGTGTTTTTGGGAGTGGCACATTTGGCAAATTGAACTCCAGCAAGTCCAGATTTCCCACAAACTTGAGGTAGCAGTACTCTCTGATTGTTGGAGATATACCACATTTCTATAAACCCTTTATTTTCCAATAGCTGTTGGTCATTTAAATACCAAAGCACCAGTCTGGTGAAAATATGAGAAAACATGGACTTCAGGAAACATGTTGAATTGTGGGATAATTTGTAGAGAAATTAGAGCTAATCTACATCGTTTTTTTGTAGTAATATAAGTAAATTGTGATATATTTCAACTTGATTTAATTACAAAGCATCTCTCCTGAAGACGTGTAGCCCCAAAATGCTTCACATTCAAAACAAACCAACAAAAAGAAAATAAATACAATTTTGACCAATAAAAAACTATGAATGTTAAAAAAACAAATATAAGTACATAGGATATATTAAAATAAAATATCAGGGATAACTCATTTAGTTTGTTAGCTAATCATGTTTGTAAATAGCCTGTTGATGTTTTCTAATGGGCTCCTTGAGAGTGTAGTTGTGTCGGTCGAGTGTTGTCTGGTTTTCTGTGAACTTGTTTTAGAGCAGCTGAAGTAAAGAGTGAGTAGATGTGTGACCAATACAGTTGTGTGTGGGTGTGTGTTATGTGCATGTGTGTGTGTTTTGTGCATGTGTGTGGTTTACATGTGTGTGTGTTCTGTGCGTATGTGTGTTTTGTGCGTGTTCTGTTCACGTACTGTGTGTGTGTGTTTATTACAGACTCAGGGTCCAGATAAAAGACAAGGCATTACATATAATAAATTACATACACAGCATAAAAATAATTCATAGTTTAAGAATAATTTAAATCAGTGTCCTACAAAGAGACAACTATACCAATGTCTCCACAGCTGCGATTGGTAGCGTGTAGTACTAAACCTTATGTTCGATAAGGCCGAGAGGATTTCATTATCAGAGTCATTAAGCCGGCAAATACATTTATACATAAGATTTCTTAAAACAGCTTGTAGAGTATTGACTCCTGCAGCCACAAACATTTCACTTGCACTAGACCATCGAGGTCTCTTCAGCAATATTCTCATGGCATCATTATAAGCTACTTGCCGTATAGAGCGGTGTGCAATATGCTCTGAACAGAGACATCTTCACTCCATCTGTACATGCACCAAACTTACGTAGGAGAATGTTTGCTTGTGCAGACATCATGCGGCATTGCCTATAAATATCTTCATCATCTGTCATTTGTTCTGTGATAAAGTGTCCAAGATATTTTAACTTATTACAGACACTAAGATTAAAATCAGAACATTTAAAATCAGGAAATTTAAGACATTTATCTTCTTTGGTTCTAAAGATCATGACAGCACTCTTACTGGCGTTGTATTTGATGTCATGCTCCACACCATACACAGAACAAACAGCAAGAAGCTGCTGAAGACCAGCGCTAGATGGACTCAGCACAACAAGATCATCTGCATACATAATATGGTTCACTAGAGTGCTACCAATCATGCATCCAGTAGGCTTTCAGTCGCTTGGACAGATCATCAATATAAAGGTTAAAAAGAACTGGGGACATAATTCAATAATTGTGTGTGTGCGTGTGTGTGTGTGTTTTGTGCGTGTGTTCTGTTGTGTGCGTGCGTGCGTGTGTGTGTGTGTGTGTACCTCCAGGGCATGGATCTGCTCCCTCAGCAGCCTCTTCTCCTCCTGCTCGGTGTTCAGTGCCATCTCCAGCTCTGGTCCAAAGCAGTGAGTTATTGGACAGAGAGCAGCCGACCAGCCTATCGCTGCCTGCTTAGCTACAATCTTCTCTACGCTCTTCTCTGACAGGCCTAAAGGGGGCGCCGCACACAGCAGGGGGGAGTCTGTTAGGCCAGACACACACTACACCAGCTCCTCTCTGCACCACCCAATTATCACCTGAGTTTCTCTGGCTGAGCAGCAAAGGCAAACACCATGAGAGCGGTTTGAATTCTGTAAACGGTTATTTTTGAAGTAAACGGTTATTTTGTGGTTTTTTGTCATTATTGAGTGTGCTGATGGGGGCGTGCGGCGCAGTGGGTTGTGCGTTGGGATCAGGGGGTTCACAGCAGGTTCAAACCCCACTGCAGTCAGCATGTCGTTGTGTCCTTGAGACACTTCACCCCAAATTGCTCCTGTGGGGATTGCCCACAGTATTGAGTATGTAAGTCGCTTTGGATAAAAGCGTCTAACAAGTGACATGTAATAATGTAATGTCATGTTCTTGTATTTGAATGTGTTATTTTGTACAAAATGTACAAATGTGAGTACAAACACATTTAGAGATTGACAATAAAGTTGACTTTGACTAAATGATAGGAAAGGAGCTTCAATGCTTCCTTTGATATCTCCTTTAGGATACACTGGATCACGCTTTAGGAAATAATAATCCTGTCCCACAATGTCACAAAGACAACTATTCGTGACACAGATCATGTAAGTTACGGTGCTTATAAAGGTTTATCAAGTCCATCTCATGCTGAAACTTGCTGCTTTTAGGTTTTAAGCTTTCAAAAATATAATAAACCAAAGGGCAAACTATCAACAGTTCGCTAATTATTGTTTTAAAATGATCAAATAAAGTCAACATTTAAAACATTTTACTGAGTTGTGAGGTGTTTCTTAATAATTGTTTTTAACAAATGTCTGAGCTTTTCTTATTCAGGCCATTAAAACATGTTAATAACCACACATTCCTGCTAATGTTCATGCATTTCACTTCCTTTTAAGTTGCCATAATGGACACTTTCTGACTTTCTTGATATCAACTGGTTATCAATACTTGTTTTGTTTTTTCCTGATATATCTGATAGTATGAAACCAAACAAAGACGGATGAGTGATGTCATAATTTAACAATAAATAACCACAAGGTAAAATCATAAACCTGTCTCACATCGTGCAGAAATTGGGCGGTTATCCGAAGATACAAAAAACACGTTTCCCTCCAAAAAAAGTGTTTCAAATCTCGAATTTCAAAACACAGACTTGATCACCCAGACAAAATGAAAACTTCCCAATGACTTCCATCATATATCAAGTATGTAGACTGCAGTAGTGTTTTGGTAACAGTTACTGTCCTCTCTACAATCAGGTAAGTCAAATTGGTTGTGGCGTTGCAGCTTTGCCAGAAAATAACTTGCATATCAGAATGATGCTCCTGATATTTCCTCAGTTACACATTGTGATGTCCGTCAGCTGGTAGTGTGTGTCTGCCCTGAGCCAGCTAGCTGCTCTACGCTTTAATAAAGCCAGGCTTAGACTTTATCCTTAATTATCAAATAGAAACCAGATTTCAAATAATGACAAGCAGGAAGAAAACATGACAATAGGAGGAAGAGTTGTAATGTTACTGTAACAGATGTCTGGCTGATATTTGAGTATTTAGTGCAACAAGCGTGATAAAAAGGGTCAAACTGGTGGATTCACATGTTTTTATCTTTTATAAGTAACATATTTAGTGTAACACAAGTTTTAACCTTTAAACAGTGGCTGTATTTCTTAAACAATGCTTAAAGTAATCTGATCATTGATACAATATCGCAGAATAGAGTGCCACAGTGACGCGTCCTAAAACCCGGAAGTGAGTCAGCATTTCACCACTTCCTGTTCCCTCGTCTCAGAGCCAATGGGATCTCTCCATAGGGTTTAGGAAAATATCTGGAACTAAGGTCTGTGGTTGAGACGCATTGAAGAGACGGATCACGTTTTGTTCTACGACATTAAATCCATCAGCACTGGTGATTTCTGAAGAGTTGACGTGTCTGAGAAACGATGGTTGTTACCAAGTGGCTGAATAGGACTACAGAAGTCGTGGAGGACGTTGAACGTCATTACGCCGAACACGTAAACACTCCTCTAAGTTAGTTCTGCTTGAAAGCAAGTCCCTGCCTCCTGCAATCTGTTCAAACTAACGCTTCAACTTGTTCCATTTAGAATCTGTGTGTTTGAATATGGATCTTAAGTTGGCGTGACGTTGAAGCAGCGACCCTGCTGTAGTTCCTTTATAGCATAACGTTAGCATTTTGCTTCTGTAGGATAGACATGTGGAGATTATCCGGCTGAACAAAACCCGTCTCTTAAATGTGTTTCAACCACAGACCTTATTTCCAGCTGTTTTCCTAAATCCTATGGAGAGATAGCTTTGCTTTTTGACGAAGGAACCGGAAGGAGTTTACTTCCGGGTTTTAGGATGCGTCACTGCGGCACTCTATTTAAGCAATGTGAAATTCAATTGATGAAATGGTCTTTAAGTCAACTACTAACTCATACATATGACATGGTAACTGGTTAAATCAAATTGCATAAGATAAGTGTGTTTTCCAGAGACGAGAGAACTATTGAAGATCGAATGAAAAGACAGGAGTTTGTGTTTTAAAAGGGAAATGCTATATGTGATAAAGTTTAAAATCACCATGTAGCTGTTTCTCTTTGTGTTCCAGCTGAGCCTCCTTCTGCAAACAGGAAATTACATAAAATACAAACACACAAAAAAATGCAATAAATTATCAAATGTAAGTTGTAAGTGTTAAACTCCCACTTTACAATTTTGTGGCATTTTCTTAACAATTAAAAACTAGAAAATCAATAAATTAGAGTTGATATATTAAATAACAGGGATCAGAACAATGTAAAACATAATGCTTTATCATTATCCTTCAAATTAAACTTGTATTATAAATATTTATTGCCAAAAAATAAGACCGGGTTTTAAAAGAAAAAATTGAAATATTCCCAAGAAATATTTTGTCACCTGTTCTAGTCTCTCATTGGCTCCCACTGATGTCGGCTCCTCCCCCTTCCCTGTGGCATCAGAGACTCCGTTGGCGCCGGCTGTCTCCATGGCAGCGTTCTGGTTGCCCTCGGCGACCGGCTGTTTCTGTTGCTCCATGTCGAAGCGCTCCTGGAGAGCTGCAGGAAGAATCATTTATTTATTAAACACCACAGGAATTCAATAAAATATATATATGTGGCTTGTGCATGTTTCCTGTTTGGCTAATAAGTAATATGATGGATTTAAAATAATAAAACAATGATAATAATTATTTCTATTATTAATAAATGTTATTTTGTCAAAGGTAATATTTCCCCTCAGCCCAAGGAGATATCTTGTCCCTTTCAAACAGCAGTGTCTAAAAACACAAAAAGTTAACTATTATATTGTTTTTTTTCTGGCAAATCAAGCATTGGATCCAAAGCTGGAATCAGTGTTTTGATATTTTAGCTTGAAAATGTGGAAATGAGTGCTAATTTAAATTATATTTTCTGTTTGATCAAGTTATCTATTTATCATTGCAGCTCTATTTGTAACTACTGTGGACACCTTTGATTAAGAGCATCTTAAAACCCGGTTATGGCTAGAAAGGATCCGTCTTGTGTACATATGACGTCACGTTCTCGTTGTAACTCTCGTTGTAATCGGAGCGACTCGGAAACACATCTACAGCAGTAACATGATGCAACATACACATTAATGCAGCAGCAATATTAATAGAGAAACATCAGACATAATAGTAAAACACTGAAAGGGAACGTTTTATTGCACCAGGAGCTATCTTGGGACTTTTACTGCGACAACGTTGACTTGCCTGTGAATAAAAAATAAACCGTAGTGTTGGTGATCTACAGTGTTGTCATTCTTCTTTGAACAGCAAGACCGCTAACTCCCTATTTCAACAATCACACTCCTGTCATTGACATCATTAATAGATAGTTTAGCTTCTCACCATCAGTTGCTGTGGTGGCCCACCGATCGTAACGAGTAACTGAAAGGCTGCCTGCTAAACGTAAACATTCAGCCACGTGACTTGCAAACTCTCGCGAGAGTTTTACACACACACACACACACCACACACACACACACACACACACACACACACAGCCACACACACACACACACACACACACACACACACACACACACACACACACACACACACACACACACACACACACACACACACACACCACACACACACACACACACACACACACACACACCACACACACACACACACAAACACACACACACACACACACACACACACACACAGCACACACACACACACCACACACACACACACACACACACACACACACACACACACACACACACACACACACACACACCACACACACACACACACACACACACACACCACACACACACACACACACACACACATTACACACACACACACACACACACACACACACACACACATCTCCGCAGCTACTGCACTGAAACTGTAATGTCAATTCATGTTCTGTGGATTGTGTTTTTTAAATATATTATTAAAAAAGTACTTATTACTACTATTACTTAGTTTTATACCCCGTTATCTAGGCACCTTTTGTATCTGGTTTTATGTGTCACACTGTGGGACTGCAAGAAACGGTATTTCAAGATTTCTGTATGTAGACATTCTGACAATAAAGGTGACTTTGATTTATTTTGTCTGTATGGTGTATCGTAATTAGTTGTGTCTTTTATTCTTAAGAATAGAGAAAGTCACATCTTCCACACTGCACTTAACCTGAGCTGGCAGCTACAAGGTTCTCACAGCTACAGTGTAGTTATGACAATGCAATGCTTAGGTCACAGGCTCCTCCAACAGTGCAACACAATGAAACAGATAAGAACTCACTTTTCATTTTCTTCAGCAGGGTGGAGTTCTCGGCCTGCAGGCGGAGCAGCTCTCCATCCACAGGACTGGAGGTGGGGTTTGGGGGGGGGCTGGGTGCAGAGGCTGCTCCGTCCTTCAGACCCTGGTTCTCCTGCTCCAGCTCCTCGATCTGCGTACACAGCTGGAACCAAACAGAACCAGAATCAGGTTTATTACCAGGTACGAGGAATGTGACGTGATGTCGTGGTGCATACATAAAACTCTATAACAAATCCCCTCTGGCTGGCAGAGAACTGTCTGCTCCATAGCGTCTCTTGATTACTGGACTTACTGACATTTTACATTCATATTCTATTTCATTTTGTACAATAATATCCTGCATTATATTTGTTACTGGAAATGTGTATTTCTACTTGTATATTTTCCACATTTATATATATATTATTTTTTTTATTATATTTTATATTCTTTAACTTTTTTTATTTTTAATGCTATTTTATTTCTATTTCAGAAATATTTTGGACTGTTTATTTCTTGTGTCTTAAATGTATCTTATGTACATTGCCTTGCTTTTTTATGCTGCTGCAACGCAAACATTTCCTAAATTGGGATCAATAAAGTATCTATCCATCTACCCACCCACCCACCTACCTACCCAACCATCCACCCACCCACCCACCCAACCATCCACCTACCCACCCATCTACCCACCCACCTACCCACCCATCCACCTACCCACCCCACCCACCCATCCATCCATTGTTTTGTTTAATTTGTTTTGTTTTATTGTTCTGTCTTTTATTTATTTTTATTGAAGTATTCCAGGAATGTATGTTGCATGTTTTAATTTGATTGTATTTCCTTGTTTAAAATTAACTGTGTTTTAGGTTGACTTGTAAAATCTGTCCAGGGACTACAGATGAAAAATAGCCTCTTGGCTAACTCTGGCACATTTACAGGGATGTTAATTAATGTGCACTGTCCCTGTTAAATAAAGGAATAAATCAAATAAAAAGTTTCTTATTTTTCCATCTCACTTTGATTTTTAATAACTACAGCCTCTAGTTGGCCTTAATACAGTAATTGGACTCTAAGCGCTGCCAAAACATGGGTGACCGACACTCTGCACTGTTCCTGAACGCCTCTTATGTGGCATTGATTGAGCACTGGAGCTTCTGATGTTTTAATTTGTTGCTAACTGTGGGATATTTGAATGATTAGAAACAGAGTCAGTTAGATAAAGTGATATATTCTACATGTTAGTAGGATGTGATGCACACACACACACAGAGAGAGAGAGAGAGAGAGAGCTACCTTCGAGAGCTCGGTCATCAGCGTGCTGTTCTGTAGTCTGAAGTCTTCCTCCTGACTGTGGAGTTTCCCCTGAAGCATCTCATTCTCACTCAGCAGCGCCTCCACCTCCTGCAACAACAACAACAACAACAACAACAACAAAGATATCAATTATTTATAATAAATGCTTACAGTCCATGTTCTATAAATACATTTCTTTATTTTCGTTGCATTAAAACGAATGTAATGCTCAGGACCATGACCGTGGGTAAAAACGAAACTTACAAACAAGAAAAGATTTGAAAAAGAAACCAGTCACTTTGGTAATCTAATATTTAGAAATAAACAAGACTGGTATTAGACAATGTTAAAACTACTGAAATGAGACACTCATATTTAAACAAACAAAAACAATTGAGATACAATACTACTGTGAAATGTACTTGAATCAGTCATGCAGGTGGGGACAACGTGTAATCCTGCAGTAAGCATAACAAACACAACTCACCTGAGCCTTCTTGCTCTTATTCAAAGCCTGGGGAGACAAAGCAATCACACTGATGTATATAAACACATCTGGGTCAGACAACTAGTCATTTTCTTTATATATCTTTATTATAAGAGCAAAACCACATTGTACATCAGACCACCAAATCCAAGTGGAAAAAATCAGTCTTTGTTCAGAAAATAATAACAATTTCTATTCAAATAAAGCATCCTTACCTTCTGTGCTTTGACAAAATCTCTTTCCAAAACCGCATTTTTCTGACGGACGGCGTTCAGTTCTGAAACACAACAAACATTATTGATGAACAATGAATCATTCATTTATAACATACATGATTATTCCTGAGGTAAACTGTATGTAAGCAGTCTGCAGGCTGAAAGTCTTCACAGCGTAACCTGAGTAAATTATACAAAATCACAAGTTCATTATTTATTTTATGAAGAAAACAAACCTTTGCTGAATTTCTCTGTTCACCTGTTACTAAATTCAACTGATTAAACATAACAATCCTGCACAAGGCAAGGCTTTTCTGGAGGACCTAAATTAAAGTACATTTCTTTAAAGTTGGACTTAATCAGACGAATCACTCTCTATGCTAATTGAGGATTTCCTTTTGTTAGGGGAAGGCCGCCATAGAATATGAAGAGTTATTGTAAGAGAGGAAACGAACCAAAGCAACATTAAAACACTTAAACGCTTGCTTGGTCTTAAAAAGAATATCTGTTAAATAAAAACTGCTTTGTAGAGAGCAGAAGGGAAAGTGATGTCAGTCTGAAGTCATTAACAGGAAAACTACAAATATCCAATATATAGATTATTATCAGGAAACATGCAGAGGTGTTTTACCGGCCGAGTTCTTCCTGAGATCATCAGACAGCTGGTAGTTCTGAGTCCTGAGCTCCAGCAGCTGAGCCTGCACACACACACACACACACACACACACACACACACACACACCACACACACACACACACACACACACACACCACACACACACACACACACACACACACACACACCACACACACCACACACACACACACACCACACACACACACCACACACACACACACACACCACACACACACACACACACACACACACACAACACACACACACACACACACACACACACACACATCACACACACACACACACACACACCACCACACACACACACACACACACACACACACACACCACACACACACACACACACACACCACACACACACACACACACACACACACACACCACACACACACACACACACACACACACACACACACACACACACACACACACACACACACACACACACACACACACACACACACACACACAATATCACTATGACCTTTCACCCTGCTCCTAAAAGTGAATAGAAGCGTGAAACTGCTCCTCGTGACTACATATTTTCTGTTGGGCAGACTTTGTTAAACAGTGTCTAACACACAGCTTAGCGTGTTGTCAGAGAGAAAGACGAAAACAGACAAACAATGTAGTGTTAGAAATGGACATAAAGTCAAACTGGCAATAACAGCAGAAATAACTATAATTGGTGTAGAAATGTGTCTAAAATTGGCTAACACGTTAAATCACTTCTCAGCTGTGTTGCCAGATAATGTTTTCCTCACAGCACAGTAATTAAAGACATATTATCATTGATACCAGCTCCCTGGTCCAAACCCAGACAGTTATCGTACTGTAACTACCTGTACGAAGTGCTTCAATACAAAGAAAATAGAGAAAATAGAGTAAACAAGATAAGAGAACTGTTTGTATCCTCAGGGCAATGCTTGTGCAGCAGTTGCAGAAAATATACATAACGATGCAAAATGTCTAAAAGCTTAATATACATATAGCCAGCAATCGGGCAGATGGTAACTATAAATACAACAGGTTAAAAGGTAGCATATCAAAAATATTATATAAGTAAACTAAGTACATTTACTCAATTATTTTATTGAGTATTTTCTGCTTCTTTTTACTTCCACACAACTACATCTCAAAGGTAAATGTTGTACTTTCCAATACATTTCCTCCCATCAACTTTAGTTTATTTTTCAGATGAGTTATCCTTCCCCTTCCTCTCCAGTAAAAACATGTCTGCAGATGTGTTAATGTTGAATGGCTGTCATACTGAATGATGAACTGAGAAAAATCCTCCTACTCATTTTAACAGTGAGGCATTAGTACTAATACTGCAGTAAAGGATCCGATTACTTCTTCCACATCTGCCTGTTTACACACTGTGTACTTGTATTAAATGTATAATTACTTTGCTATAAATGACAGCTAACACTGGGCTGTTCAATCAAACAGAAACCCCTCTGAGACCCCGTGATCTGTCCCGTGGATGCTAACATGTTAGCATACTGCAGATAAAAATAAGGGTTAGCTTCAGGAAAGCTACATGTTTCTCTACCAGCAGAGGATGCTAAGCTAGCTTGAGCTAACTGAGCTAGCATACTGTTGTAAACTGTCAATACAAATATATTTTCTCTCAGTATGTGATTTAATGACTTGTGCTTCTTCTCAAACTGACCTGACATTGTTCAATTAATAATAATATGTTACAGGATAAGCTTTTGGACAACCGTTAACTTCTAACAGCTACTAACGGTTAGCATGAGAGAGCTAACTGTCAGTGATGTCACACCTGCAGCAACTGACAGGTGTGACATCACACTACTGACAGTCCACCGACCGGAAACAACACATGTCGGGTTTATTTTTCATGTATCTCACCTGCATCCGATGGAACTCCTCCTCTGACAGAGCCTGGGACAGGGCCATGTTTACCTGAGGTAGGCTAGCAGGCTAAGCTAGCGGAGGAGACGGAGGAGGAGCAGAGAAGAGAAGAAGAAGAAGGAGAAGAGCTCTCACTCTGACACTGTTTCCCGGAACCAAGAAACAACAAGAGTCAAATGGGGATAAAGCCTGCCAGCTGCTCCAGTGGTGAAGAATGAATAAAGACCCTTTAGAGTTGGAAGAAGTACTCAGATATTGTACTTGAGTAAAAGCAGAAGTGCCCAGAGTGTAGGAATACTATATGTTACAAGTAAAAGTCCTGCATTCAAAATATTACTTGAGTAAAAGTAGAAAAGTATTAGCGCCATCAACATATACTTAAAGTACCAAAAGTAGTCATTGTGCAGACTGGTCCATTTCAGAATAACATATATGATATGTTTTATAATGATTGATCATTAAAGTGTTCTCAAAGCTGGTAAAGGTGCAGCTAGTCTGAATGACTTTGTATACTGCAGGGTAGCTGGTGAATTTACTCCAGGTGGAATTAAAGTCTGATTTAACACTTGATTATATTTCACATCATTCATCCACATCTGTAAAGTAACTAAAGGTATTAAATACATGTAGTGGAGTAGAAGTACAAAGTAGCAGAAAATGGAGATAATCATGTCTCTAAGTTCCTCAACATTTTAATTACGTACTTGAGTAAATGCACTTAGTTACTTTACACCACTGTGGAGAATGTATTAAGATCATTTAATTACATTTAAAAAATACCTGTTTTTGCCAACATTTAAAGCCACTGTCCTGGTTTCATACTTATTAATGAGTTCTTGTTATGGTATATAATTTCTGACCTCTAATTATATAGTAAATTACAAAAACATCAGTAAACACCCAGGTGTTGCTTTGTTAGTCGTTTCTCTTCATACATTGTGTGAGAATTTCACTAAACCAAGCTAACTGTTTGCTTTTATTTTCATATATGATATATTTCTGCATCTGGTTTTCACACCTCCACTTTGTAAGTTTCTGAGAAAGTGTGTAGAGCCGGGTTTAAGATGCCAACACCTGAAATATACCAAAAACTCAGCACATAACAATATCACCACATACGACCACATGCACTTGTGATGTGTCCTCTCAGGCCCTTATTTTCCATCTTGTGCTGCACAACTTTTGCTGCATCCTGTGTAATTGCATATCACCCCATCTTCAAAGGTTCACTGAAACAAAACACAAACACAGTTGTTGCCATTCTGAGAGAGTTCTGGAGGATTTTCATGTAGGCCTATTTGTTACATACAATGATCTGTGAATTCATTTTTATAATGAAATGATAAGAAAACAAACGGTGGAAAAACTTGACATTCGACAATATCATTTCAACATCTCCGCTTTTCAGTATGGTCCTTAGTCAAATAAAGACAAAGACAAAAAAAAACTTTTCCACTGAGTCGATTACAGGGCCAGTGAATCAGTTCTTGATGTCCACTGCAGCGGGTGATCACAAAACACAGACTGCATAGGGAGACTTTGTGTACCATTAGTACTGGTGGCCCCTTCTAAGAAACTCATGGCATGACTTACAGCACTTAATTGTATATCCATGATTCCCTGTACACTACGATCATACCATATTCTACCATGATAGTGTTGAAGCAAAGATGGATAAAAACAACTATGTAAGACACAAGGAAACAGACATTGGAGGAAATGGTGATTGCAATGCTATCACTGTAAAGTCTTGTTCTGACAGAAGACTTTACAGCGTCTCTGCTTGTAAAAACGAACAGGAAATGCTTTTTTTGCGGGTATAAATAAATATGCAGCTGCAGAACTGTGATCATTGTCAGTTGATGCCAGCCGCACATCAAAGATGCAGAGCCTTATAACAAAAATCGCCACTGAGAAGCTGAGCACCTACGCTGCGGTCATATCTATCTTCACCTACACTATTTTGCTCAACAGGGATTTAGCCTGCACCTGCGAACCACAAGCCTCGAACTGCAACCTGTACATGCTTCTGCCACCCGTTATCATTTTTTAATTAATACTTTTGTTGGACAGCTCGTTCCAAAGCGTCTGTAGATACTATTCCTCACATTGTAAATGCCCCTGCGGTCTTTGCTGTTTTTATGCCCATCATTTTTTAAGGGCATTTTTAGTCGGCTTGCTGTGGGTTGCTTTTTTGTTCCTCGATGGAGACTGGTATGTTTGCTGTCAGAATGACGGCTCTGAACAACAGGCAACGTTAGCCTGCAAAGCTGAGAAGGATATCAAAGTCAACGAGAAAGTTCTTAAATCTGAACTGAAGACAACATCCCGGGTGAGTGCTTCCTCTCTGGATCTACTTTATCAGCATCAGTTTGAAGTGTTGTGTTATAACCATCTTTCTTTCTTTCTTTAGTTTATCGGTGGCTGGATTCTATTTGGAATTATTTTAGGGGCTTTTGTCTTGCCATTGTGTGTCAGATCGAAATGCTGTGGGGAAAAAAAACATTCTGCCAACAAAAGATTTCTGTATGACAAACTGATCATAATAGAGGAGGGCAATGTGCTGAAAGAGGTTCTGAGGAATTCAGCAAAGGAGAAGTTGACTGAAGGAATCCAGAGCAAAATCCGTGACAAACGAAGGGAAGAGTGTTTCGATGTTGCCAGAGAGCTGATTGAAAAAGACCCGCGAAAAGAGGAGCACCAACCGCTAGGGGCACAAGAACCAGGTAAAGAATAATAAAAGAACACTTCTCCACTTCTTTTTTTCTCAAGGCCTACAGCTAAATATTGTTTGTAGGAAGATAAGTAGGTGAAATGTGATGACCGTTACTTGACTTTATTCTGTGTTTGAGCATAAAGAATGCACAATCTTATCGTGTGGTAACATTGTAACTTGTTAGGGGTTAGGGGATACATCAGATTAAAAACCTCTAAAGTTAAAATCTGCAGGTTTACTGATTATGAAGAATGCTTTGATAGTTTCTGCTAGTTTCTTCTCAAATTGCAAGTCGCTTTATCTTAGTATGTGTTGCAGACTGCATTTGCAATATGTCGTAGATGTTAAGTGATGTTTGAGTTGACATATTTTGATATAAGAATGTCCTTTTTATGTTAGATATCATCATCATCACTGTCATTTAAACACATGTAAACGCACTGTGCTCAATGCACCAGGCGATGGTGCCAGACAGGCTGTTAGTGTGTTTTTCACCTCCTGCTCTCTTTTCTCTTATCCTCTTTGTCCAGTCCAGTTGATACGCATCATGTCTGTTCCTGCCGGTGCCGACTAGACTGGACGATCATTGAGGAGGCACACCTGGAAGAGTTCTGTCTCTCCATGGATCATGATCTGTTGCTGACTACAGAGCTTAAGTGAAGTCAGCAGCTCCCAGTATGACTGGAAAATGTTATAGATGCCATTGCTCCCACCAGGGTAAAGGAAGTGTCTGGCAAGAAAATATCTCCATGCAGAAAGGCCATGACCTGCTAAATGCAGGTGGCGAAAAACAAATCTCCATTTTGAAATCTATAAAGAGACACTTGGCATTTATAATTTGGAATTGAAAAATGCATAAAAGTCTTTCTTCTCTGACATCATTGCCAAAAACAAAAACAACGCACGTGCCTTGTTTGCTACCGTTGACAGACTAACTAACCCCCCAGTGTCAGTAGCCTCTGAATTTATCCACCAGGGCGTACAATGATTTTGCCTCCTTCACTGAAACATTCAGAAAATCAGACAAGCAGTCAGTGCCTCTGCATCAGGAACAGCATATGTGTTGTCTCTGTGTTCACTTCAAATCAATTCAAACACCATGACACAATTCCATCATTAATGATAAAAACCTAGAGGACATTATACAACTTCTGAAATCCTCCTCCTGCTGCCTTGATATTATTCCAACAGGATTTTTTTCAAAAATGTTTTTCATTGCATGGCCTCAGATCTACATCAAATAGTAAACAATAGGGATGGGAATCACCAGGCTTACTTTCTTTCATTGCAATTGTATACATGTCTTAACGTAACTTCCTGTTTTATATAGACATGCTTTTATTTTGAAGGCGACTTTGCGCTATTAGCAGGAAGTTACTGTTCCCAAAGCAACAACTTGACGGAGAAAAAGAACGGAGATAAAGTACAGATATTAACGGAGATATCAACATTTAAATACGGCGGTATCAAAAGATAAAGTTTACATTTAAGTATCGGGGACCGAAGAGGCACAAGGTTAGTGTTAACTGTAATGTAAAAATGTGGTGTGTGTGTGTCTTAATTCATTTATACTGTATTATAACTTTGCTAACTATTTGAAGTTCACTTGTTTAATGGTATTCTAAAGTAATGCTCGGATGTAGCTTAAATGTATTTGTTGTTTTGAGTCTTTGTGTAGCTCTTACGTTGGTTTTTGGAGTTTTCAATAAATACAAAATCATCAGTCAAGTGTAAGACCATCTTTCGGAGGGATATCATGCTACAGTTTATATAACATTTTTTAACGTGTATCGATACAATACCACCGTTAACGCGATAATTTTTACAGCATTAATGTTAAGATCATATTTAGTCGTCTGATTCGTCTGTTTTAGTCTGCGTTCTTCTAATTAGTGTCCACAGTGTGCCTATTGAGCCATTTTGAGCGATGTGGAGCAAGCCCCTCTCTCTGCTCTCAAAATGAATGGGTACTGTGAAAACTACACTGCGCATGGTCAGAGTATTTTTGTATTCAATGTGTGCGGCAAACAAATAATCACCAGTGGGGCAAAGTGCTGGCAACCCCACCAAACGTCATCTCATAATTCAGAGCTGATTGGCTCTAAGTACTGTGATTGGCTCGAAGTACGTGTGATTGGCTCTAAGTACGTGTGATTGGCTCTAAGTACGTGTGCCGCAAAGTGTAGCTGTGAAGAGGAGACGAGAGAGAGCAGGTTATAGCGATACAAATCAGTCAAACGGAAAGAAAATGAATGAAGTTGACCATCTACTTCAGCTTTGGTAAGTTCATTTTATGTCATATTTTGTTGATCTTCTGTGTTTTGCCTATAGGCTATTGCTTCGCTGGATCGATTGATATTGTGTCACGGTATTGTTAACATGGCCCACCAGTGCAGAAATACCCGGATGTTGACAAGCAAGCCTCTATCACAACTTTTGGTTCACTAAAACACACATTTTTGTGGAGAATACGAAGATTTTTTCAGTTCTTGTCAAGCAAATGTATATGTACTACGTATGTTACTAGAGAGGTTTTAGATTGGCCAGTCTCCATGTGAAGTCTCGTCACTGTCCAACACATTCTCACTCCTAACTCTTCCTATATGTCAGGATCCCTTGGCGTCACTATCAATGCAGTGGGGGGCCCTCTAGCGTTGATTTTCGACTATCAGGGACTAGTCCCATTGACTTGGATAGAGTGGATACTCGAGAAACCAAGGGGAATTGGTAATAAACTTTATTGGAGATTCCACTGGATCTGAGGAATACCAACCGAGCAGTTTAACGCACCGGAGGACAGCGGGCAGAAGTTGAGTCAGGGACAGGCAGAGAGTCAGGGAGTAAGCGAGGCGGTCAGCGTAGATACAGGCAGGATCAGGGAACAGGCAGAGCAGGCAGATCGAGGACAGGCAGGGTCGGAACCGGGTAGTCAATCTGGTATCAAACGCGGGAAAGACAAGCATGAGGCAAAGTACAATCTGGCAAAGAGTGTGTGTGTAAGGTGCGGGTTTAAATACTGGCAGAAGCTAATGGGTGCAGAAGAGAAAGAGAGTGAGCTAACGAGTGGGTGTGGAAAACAGGTGAGACAGGTGAATGGAAAACTACTGGTGAATGATGGAGCAGACTATGACAGTAAGTGCATTGAACAAATGAATGAGGTAATTGTTTTTGGAGTGGAGGAGGAATGAATAAAAGTTAGCGCTGAGCTTCAGTGTGCAATGTTCAAAACAACAGATAAAGCCAGAAATCTAGGTGTAGTCATGGACTCTGACCTGAGTTTCAAAAGTCACATTAAAACAGTTACTAAATCAGCCTACTATCACCTAAAGAACATCTCTAGGATTAAAAGACTAATGTCACAGCAGGATTTGGAAAAACTTGTCCATGCTTTTATCTTCAGTAGACTCGACTACTGTAATGGTGTCTTTATAGGTCTCACTAAAACATATATTAGAAAGTTGCAGCTGATTCAGAACGCTGCTGCTTACCAACACTAAGAAAGTGGATCACATCACTCCAGTTCTGAAGTCTTTACACTGGCTTCCTGTGTGTCAAAGAATAGATTTCAAAATACTGCTGCTGGTTTATAAAGCACTGAATGGTTTAGGCCCAAAATACATTTCTGACCTCCTGCTAAATGATGAACCATCCAGATCTCTCAGGTCTTCAGGGACTGGTCAGCTTTCTGTCCCCAGAGTCAGAACTAAACATGGAGATGTTCAGTTATTATGCTCCAAATATCTGGAATAAACCAGAAACCTGCAGGTCCGCTGCAACTCTGACTACTTTGAAATCCAGGCTGAAGACTTTTCTTTTTTCCGCTGCTTTTAATTGATATATTCATATCTTAAACTGCACTGTAACTTTTATTCATGTACCTGTGTTATTCATGTTTTATTATCTTTGCTTTTAAATTAGTGTTTTAAAATGCCAATTAATAATATGTTTCTGCTGCACTATTTCTTAATGCTTTTAAAGGTCCCCTATTATACTGTTTTTCATCAATATATTATAGGTCTCAGATATATACAAAACATGTCTCCGAAGTGTTTGGCTGAAACACCAAACAGATCATTGCAGCATCCCATAATCCCCTCTGTTTCAGCCCTGTTTCCAAAGTGCTGATTCTCTGTCTGTTACTTTAGATGAAAATAAGGAGCCCCTCCCCACGCCCCTCTGAGAGACATTTGGTTAGAAAGAACTAAATGGTGCTCTAGGAGGAGATTCAGGTGATAAGGGGGGGGTTTAACTAGGTTGGTGATTGGCTAATGGTTACACAAGACAAAACATCGTTATGACATCATAAAGTGGCCAAAATCTGATCAGCTCATTTTCAGACAGGTTTTTATAGAAATGGATCAAAAAGAGAGAGAATCTTTGTTTCTGAAACTTTCAGAGTTTCTTTACACAGAGGGGACACATGTTGATGTAGAAGAGACATGAAGAAGAGGGGACACATGTTGATGAAGAAGAGACATGAAGAAGAGGGGACACATGTTGATGTAGAAGAGACATGAAGAAGAGGGGACACATGTTGATGTAGAAGAGACATGAAGAGAGGGGACACATGTTGATGTAGAAGAGACATGAAGAAGAGGGGACCACATGTTGATGAAGAAGAGACATGAAGAAGAGGGGACACATGTTGATGTAGAAGAGACATGAAGAAGAGGGGACACATGTTGATGTAGAAGAGACATGAAGAAGAGGGGACACATGTTGATGTAGAAGAGACATGAAGAAGAGGGGACACATGTTGATGTAGAAAATACATGAAGAAGACGGGACACATGTTGATGTAGAAGAGACATGAAGAAGACGGGACACATGTTGATGTAGAAGAGACATGAAGAAGAGGGGACACATGTTGATGTAGAAGAGACAGGAAAAAGTGGATTTTGCACAATAGGTGACCTTTAGGCTAGGTAATTTTGGAGAAACCAGCTCGAGTGCGCTAGAATTTGAAAATACACGACCTGAGAAAATCTGCCACTTCCTTACAGAGCCCCTCCTCACACACAAACGCGCACATGACCAATGAGGGCACGAGATAAGTTTGTGCACAGATGGAAGGCTGACAGGCAGGTAGGCCATCCAGTTACTTTAGCCGGGCCGGCTAAAATGATTGGCCGTGCTTTTTACAGCGCTACGGCTTCCACAGATGACATTTTTTCATGGATTTTTTGTCAAAGCACTTAAGATATTCATTGCTATCGGATGTTAAGAGCATTCCATGGAATATAACAAAAAGTGTATCTCGAGCCGGTTTCTCAAACTTACATACCCTACCTTTAATGTCTTTCATTTTTGTAAAGGACTTTGAATTGCTTTGTGTTGAAAGGTGCTATATAAATGAACTTGCCTTGCCTTGCCTGGCAGGTTTATCAGTCTGATCTCTGGGGGAAACGGCGTGGAGGCAAGGGACGAGGGACGACTGAAGCCCCCCCGCCAGGTGAGTTTCGGGCTCCTTTCCTTCATGTTGTTTCAACAAAACATTTCTGTATGAAAAACTGATTATAATAGAGGAGGGCAATGTGCTGGAAGAGGTTTTGAGGAATTCAGCAAAAGAGAAGTTGACCGAAGGAATCAAGAGCAAAATCCGTGATGAAAAATGGGAAGAGTGTTTCGATGTTGCTGGAACGCTGATTGATCCACGGAAGGAAAAACAGAGCGCCAGGTAAAGAAAATAAATAGTTTTAAGATTTCAGAAGGAGGACTCTGCTTTGTAGTTTCCTACATACAGAGCCCAAGATGTTAAAAGTATATGTTATATGGTGAAGCAGTTATCCTAATCATTCACTTTTAATACAGAAATACACTTAGTTCATGGTGGGCAGTACGAGAACATAATGGAGAAAATGACATAGGAAAAAAAAAAAGAGGATAAATAAGAAAAAACTGCATTTTACATGCTCATTTTATGTAATTTCAATTGTTTTAATTATGTATTTCTTAGAATGGAGCTTTCACTAATTTATGAAAACTTTTTCAGGATCAAGGAGCCAGAGGTGAATATATTCACTTTTATCTATCAGTATGTCTGTATCTTGTAAGTATTTGAAAACAGGTTCCACAGGACATATTTTAAAAGTTTCTGTTTGTTTGTTTTTCTCTCCAATCGCAGGATTTATCAACAAGTTTCGAGGGTCCACAAGCTCTGACGGAAAAAGGAGGGAGGAGTACTCAGAATTAAAATAAAAGTTGCAATACTAAGTGTAAAAATACTCTGTTACAAATAAAAGTATTGCTGATCAAAATACTGATCAAGCTAATCATGCTGAATGATTTATTAATTTTTCATTGATACTTTAACATAAGCCAGGATGCAAAAAGGCTCAAAAGGCCACAACAAAGAGGAGACACACCATGTTGACGGTCAGTGGCAGCGCTAGGGGGTGGCTACTTGGGCACAAGCCCCGGATGTTTTTTGAAAATCCCCGGATGTTTCACTTAAAAAAAACAAAAACTTTTTTTTTAAATGTCTCGTGAGTAATGTGCAGTACCGGAGTCCACCAGAGATGCAGCCGCTGCGGGACATTAGCCTGCGTACTGCGTAGCCTTCCCTGCCCTGAAGAAGAAGTGATCCTTCAGTGCCTGACGAGTTTTAAACTAATAGCCTAAAGTTATGGATATTAGAAAGTTATTTTCATCAAAGCAGGCGCCACAAGCTGCAGCAGCAGCAGTATCAGCAGCTGACAACAATGTCATCACCAGCAGTCAAGAAATGG